GCTGACCCAACGCTAGAAATTACCTCTAGACTTTCTTTTACTTGAGAAAATTAAACCCTTTTTGTTAAACCATAAGCCAAATGCAATCCTGATAACTTTTCCCTTGAGGAATTACCTTTCTTCCAGTCACTTCTATAGTCGGGAGAGGCTGCCTCCAGTCCCTCAGGTACAAAAATGGGCACTTGACCTGAACTAGACAGTGTACTATATCGTGGCCAAGTGATTGGTTTAGGAATAGACATACGACCCAAGCCAGATCAATGAGACTCAAGTCGTGGAATTAATGCAAAAGGGCTGATTCTTTCCACACACAGGTTACTAAATGAGTAGGATGTAAGTCTCGAGCTACTGTACCTACCATAAGGAGAGCCTAAGAACACAGCCAATAAAGAAGGCAGAGATAAGAGGATAAAGATATTCCTGAAGACATTGTTTCTATGTCTGAATCCAGCTGGGTCTGAGCACAGCCCTTACCTGGATGTTTTAGTTATCTGACTCACCTAATTTCCTTCTTTTGTCTAATCGGTTTGAATTGGGTTTCTGTCACTTGCAAACAAAATAATCCTGATTATTTCAGCATCAAGGCCCTCTATGATTTGGACCCAACCTACCTCTCTGACCATGTCACTCACTGTTCATCTTCATCTAACCTATCCACATCCATTCAGTAAAACTGTACCCACTATTCCCCGATTTCTTGCCTTCGGATGTACTGGTCCCTCTGCCAAAAATCACTCCCACAAATTTCTTCCCATTTCCAAACCCAACCTATCTTTGGTTGTCTAAATGTCACCTTCTCTAGGAAGCCTTTGATTCCTCCAGTTGTAATTAACCTCTTATCCCTTTAAAAGACTCCAGTAACTTTATCCACACAACTCTTAGGGCATCCATTTCTTTTTGCATTAAGAGAATCTTTGCCTGGGTCGGAGCCTCACTCATTCCTGCATTACCCAAGAGTGCCACACACAGCCCATGAAGCAATTACTCAAGAAATGTTTGTTGAATGATTCCATAAATCTTTCTGCACATGGCAGCGAGGGATTTCAAAACAGAAATCGCATCGTTTTCTGCTATCTGCTTAAGGAATTGCAGTGGCTTTTCATTGCTTTCTAATTAAAGATCAAACTCCTTAACATGGTGAGCATCACTTGGTCCCTATCTATTAGTCCAGCCACACTTTGCTTCCTCATTTTCCTTCTCCCCAGCCCAGACATACTGGCCTTCCTTTAATTCACTGCACTTGCCATGTTCTCTGTCATGAGGCCTTTACACAGGCTGTTCCCTCTACTGG